GTCCTTTAGGCTCCCGGCCCGGCCCCCAGCTGGCATGGTGGCCCCTGGGGGCCCTGAGAGTGGGGCCTAGCCTGGAGAAGGGAGATGGACAAGGCCCTCAGGGATAGCAAGGGACCCTTGAGTTCTTGCTTTCTACTCCCCTCATTCTGATGAGGGGGAGGCACTGCTGAGGAAGGACAGGGGTAGATCAGGAACATCAAAGCTCTGAAAAAAAATGAAGTTTCCCTGGCAACCAGATCACGGGGGCCGGGTCCCTGGAGTCCCTAAAATTGCTAAGACAGCTCTGGGAAGCTAAGCATCCTCGACAACCCCCTCAGCCCTCAACAGGTTCCCATTTCCTTTATAACCCCTGTTTTTTTCTCCTCAAGGATAACAGGTTCTGCATACTAGCCAGAGCTCCAGATCCCCATGTGTCTTGTCCCACAAGTTCCATACCCCAACAATTTCCAGGCACTTTCTTGTTCCCCTTGGCGCTAAGGCCCCCTCCTCCCTCAACCTTTCACACCCTGGAAGAGAACAGGAAATGGCCAGGCCGGAGGTGGTGGAAATCCGGTCATTGTTACAAGTGGGTACTGGCCCAGAGGGGCCAGGAGACTTCACTCTCAAAAAAGGGTAAGGACATTGTGGTAGGGAAAAGATCTAGAATGGGAAGGCCCGGGATATAAATGGCATCTGGCTTTGAGGGCATCTCTGTGATCTGGGCTGCCTTACTTGCCCAGTCCAACTGCACAAGCAGCACATATAGGTACAGGATGTCTGCTGTACAAATACCATTTATTGAGATGGATAGTAAGCACCTTACAAGCATCAACTCTCACTGGATCCTCACCACAATTTTATGGGTATTATCATTACCCATATTTCACATATGAGGAAACAAGCTCAGAAAAGTTCAATGACTTATCCAACACCTGTTTGCCACCACCATACTTTCAGAACAGCTCTATGAAACCAGCAGGGCAGAATCAGGATCATCACTTACTAGACAGTCACTGAGGCACAGAGGAAAAAAGACTTTCTCCAAGATCAGAGAACAGAACCTTTTCTTTCACTCAGACCTGCATGTTCAGTACTCTTATCAGCAGCTCACAAGCTCAGACCCCTCCTAGTAGGAAGTCTCCCCTGACCACTCCAGCTCTTGAAGGGAGCTTCCAGTTAACCCAGCCAAACACCCAGAGAAAGTTCCTGCAAGGCTTCAGAACCAGGACTTTCAAGGGGATTCCAGCCCAGGCTTCTGGCTAAGTAAGCACTTATTGGAATTTGGGCATAGACTTCAGCAGAGTTGGATTCCCAGGGCTGAGTTCTAGCTACTTAAAAGCACCTAACAATTTTAGCATGTAATTATATTGGATTGTGCACTGTTTCCTGTTGTGTTATTCATTTTGTCTCCTCAGCCCAACTGGAAGCTGGAGGACAAAGAAGAAGCCTGACTCTCCAGTGACACTGGGGAGTGGTGGGTTCAGAAGACCTAGGGGAGATTGCTTGCTTGCCCTCAGCAGCTCCCAGGCTGCACAAAGGAGGCTCCCTTCTTCTTTCTCCTACCAGTCCTGGCTACCAATCATCCCTCATCCGCACCAGACACCCACACACAAAGGTAGGTGAGGTGCTCACAACTTACCAAGGGAATCTTCCTGACCTCTTTACCAGCACCAAGCTCACGGTTGCCAACCCAGGACTCCTCAGGCCACAAAAAAGGGGTTCTAGGCATTAGCAGACATGGCACAGGTTCCCTTCCTCACAATAGCAATGTCTGAACAATGATCAAGGTCTGTGCTAAATCATAACCATCTCCTAAAAAAAAAAAAAATGTTTACTCCATGCTTCTGATGAGTAAACCCAAATCTCTGTCCATAAGCTGTCCTACCAGTACATCCCATTTGCAAAGTACAGCAACAGGGCTTTGGGTAAGTTCCCTATACTTCTTGGTCTTCTCTCTGGTTAAATGGATTATAGCATAGGACCGTTGTGAGATCTGAATGAGATCTCACAACGAAATCTCACACTTAGGAACACTATGCAGACACTCAACATATGGATTTTTCCTTTTCTTTCCTGCCTCCAGAGCTACCACGGGCTTTAATGCTTTGGGGGATCACCCTACCCCAAAAACCCAGCTTTAGCTGTCAAGAAAGGCCCACTACAGCCATCATTTGTCAGAAGGGATAGCCCTCTCAGGCACCCAGGCCAAAGTCTGGGATCATGGTAAAAATGAAGGTCACATTAGACAGAAAAATCCATGAGGCAGAGGCACGAGTTCCAGCCTTCCATAAGGAAAAGCTCCTGAGTATAGCCCTCCTGGAAAGGAGGCTCATAGCACCCCCATTTTTAAACCTCACCCCCCAACTCATTTTCCTGTGGACCCCTGGCCAAGTTCAGACTCAGAAGAAAAGACACTGGAAGAAACAAGTGTGGATCAGGGGCAAGAGCTGGTTGAGGACTTGGATTAAAATCCTGATTCTGCCACTATGTGACCTTGGGCAACCTCTATGGGCCTCAGTGTTCTAACTGTAAAATGGAAAGACAGCAGTAAAAGAGCTTCCACAGGGTGAATGGTCATATGCATGGCATAAGAAAAGGGATGTAAAAGTACTTTTTAAAAGACAGATCACTTGACAAATGTATGAGATTATTTATACTAGCAAGAGGTAGGAAGGAAGGTAACTGTAGCTCGGGGAAAATATTGCCTCCCCCCCACCTCTCACATCCTTGCAAGGACAAGAAACTCCAATCATACCGAGCCTGAACCACAGATAAGCAGACCCTCCATGGTGATCAGAAGCATGAGAATCAACACCCCAAGGCAGTCAGGAAAAGAGTACAATCACCGGGAAGAGGTGGCTGTGAGGGGCAAAGTAAACAGGAGAGAAGACCAGAAAGGTGCTAACCCATCTGATTAACTTAAGTACCCTAGGGCATGACAGCAGAGACCCTGTCACCTGAGGTCGCCCATCAACCAGACACAATGAAGGGAAGAGGAAGGGGAAAAGGGTGGCAACAGAGGCAAGGCGGGCCAGAGGTTGACCATGGATGGGCCCAATTGGGCTTCCCTATCCTGAGGAGAGGGCCTACCTAGGCCCAACTTCTCAAAAATGAGTCCCATTTCTTCTCAGTGCTAGACACAGGGACCCGCGCCCCTACACCCCGTGTCTCACCTGGTAGGGGTCACTATGGTGCCCCAGCGCCTCCGCTTCCGCCTGGGGTCCTCCAGCGGCTCTGCCAAGCAGGGAGAGGGGCAAGGAGACCTTTCCCCTTGCCACCTCTTCCTCGGCTTTCGCCCTTCCTGAGGGGCGGGCCCGGGAAGCCGCCCCTGGAGGGGAGGGGGTGACAACCTGATCTGACCTCGCGGTCCAGTCCTCCCCCAGCTCGAAGGCGACAGTTGCTGAATCCCGGATTTCTGACTGTGGGGTCTGACCCCGTATATTTACACGGGGATAAAATGAATCCGATATTTGAACGCCTGGGGAGTGAACCCCGGATACTGGTGCAAGCAGGGGCCTGAACCCCAGATATATTAAATTCGATAAAACAGAGACCCAGGTTTGGAGATGTTGGGACCCGGGTCCCGGATACCTGGAATATGAAGGTTGATACCTGGGTATTTGAAAAGCGAGGGCCAAGCCCGGAAATTTGGGACACAGGGGCCTGAGCCCCAGGTCTTCGTCCACCTACAGGGGGCCCACCCCGAGGACGTCCGGCCGCACGGCCCCTCTCACCCGGGGTCCAAGAGTGACAGCCCTCGCTCCCGCCCTGGCCTCCTCCCTTTCCCCTCTTCTCTCTTGAGGACAGCTGAAAGACTGTAGATAAGGCGCTGCTGACAGTCCCCGTGCCCTCTCTCCCTCTCCTCTTCTCTGTCTCAACCTCTCTCCGCACCACAGCCCCGATCTCGTCCCGGTCTCCCTCTCCCTCTTCCTCCCAATTCCAAGATGGAGGCCGGGCGGGAGCGCGCAGGCGCGGTAGGGACGCCGGGCCAAAAGGGGCGTGGCCCCAAAGGGACGAGCCCCGCCCCTCCCTCCTAGCAAACGCGTCCTGGGAGATTGGCAGCCAACGAGTCCGCGTGCGCGCGCTCCCCGCCACGCGGACCTGGGTGGGCGGAGGCCTGGAGAAGGGCTAGGCTTGCAGAAGGAGGAGCCCAGAGCGCTGTCTGACGACTGGCGGTGGAGAGATCTGCGGCGCATGCGCTCGCCCCGCCTTCGCTCTGTGCCTGAGCTTGTTGCTAGGGGAAGCTTTGAGGGGGCGTGGGTGAAAGGAAAGCCGTGGCCTGCGCCTGCGCCTGCGCATAGGATAGAGGCTGGGAGGGGTAAGGGAAGTCTGCTGCAGGGCGCGGAAAAGGCGGGAAAATGGACCGCTCCGAGGTTGGTAACTCAATGGCCTAAACGAGAGCCCTCAAGTGCGAGGAGTTGTATGTCTATGTTGGGAAAATTCAATCGGACAAATCCCTCCAGGAAACTGAGGCCCTGTAGAGTTGCATGACTTACCCAAGGTCACAGTGCATTTATGTCAAAGCATTTACATCATTTGAATCCCCCAACCAGCTAGAATTATCAATTTTGTTTATTTTGGGGGGGGCGGTACTGAGGTTTGAATTCAGGGCTCCGCGCTTGCTAGGCAAGTGCTGTACTGTTTGAGCCAGATCTGGAGCCCTAGAATTATCGGTTTCAGTTCATGAAAGGAAACAAGGTATCAAATGGCAGAGCAGGAATCAAAACCAAATGTTTTCCAATGCCAAATCACAACTCCAGGAAGAACTGAAGTAACTTATGACATCCTTTATTCCCAAACTAGAGTCAGCTGTGGTGGTGACCCCTGTAATCTTCCTCCCACAGGCTGAGAAAGGAAGATTTTGAGTTCAAGGCCATCCTTTTAAAGGTTTTTAAAGACCTTGTCTTTAAAAAGTGGAGGGGGGGGGAAGTCAAAAGGAAAAGGCACCACACCTTCTAAACTTGTCTACCCTAAAACTCCCACTTTAATCCAGTCCCCAATAAACACCTTAGGCAACACCTGGCAAAAAAGCCTTTTATTTTCCCCCACAATCCAGCTCTTCACTTTTTATGACATCTCTTCCAATTCAGAACCAAAGCCCAATAAGTTGACTGACACCTGGTGAGAAAGAAAAAAACAAAATGGGACAGGTCAGAGTGCCCCTGAGGAAAGCTCTGGGATGAATTCAGAAATTGAGGAAGGAGCAAAAGAAGTGACAACTGGAGACAGGTAAGAACACTTAATCCCACTGGGGTGGCCTCAGGGCCTCAAGACCTGCCAGGGGCCAGAAAGCCTTCCTTTCCCACTCAGAAGCTGGGAGGGCTCCATCATTTCCAGTCCTGGGTAGGTGTTTAGGGCAATAAGGCCTAGCCCCAAGTTAAATTATTAAAGTTGATCTGAGCTTCCACTTCCTCTGGCCAGAGCAATTTCCTGGGCCCCAGCTGTATCCACTTCTCCCACAGTAGTTTCCTAGGGCACTGAGGCCAGCTGAAGCTGATAGCAGCTTAAGAGCTGGCTGTATAACATGAGGTTCTCAATGAGATGAGACCCACCTAACAGGGTGAAACCTTTATGGAAATATTTCTTTCCCTTAATGAGCTGACATGTGAACTAGTTAGCCAGTATGTCCTTCACTCCTGCTTCTCTTTGTGAACAATCCTCTTTGGAGAATTGTTTCCTCCAAAGAATCTTGTTAGCATTATCAACTTTTTCTAAATGCAGGAGTTCATGTAAAGTGCTTGGGGACACAGTATGTGCCCAGTAAATGGACATGATTAATCAGACTCTTTTGAGCTGTTGAAGTTGAATTTTACAAAATTTGTATCATAAAACTGTCATTTCAGGACAAAAGCAAAACAAGCATGATTCATATCCAGGGCAAATCATCAAACTTGAACCCTCTTAACTCATTATCTTTGCCAAAACAGATGTGAACTACAGCTACAGATCAGTCTTTTTTTTTTTTTTTGGTGGTATGGGATTTGAACTCAGGGCCTCATGCTTGCTAGGCAGGCACTCTTCCACTTGAGCCACTCCACCAGCCCTTTTTTGAGGTTGGGTATTTTCAAGATAGGGTCTCATAAATTATTTGCCCGGGCTGGCTTCAAATGTCAATCCTCCTGATCTCTGCCTCCTGAGTAGCTAGGATTACAGGCATGAGCCACCTGCACTGGCTCTGATCAACCATAAAAACCAGACTGTTACTTGAAAGAAATCAGTCACAAAAGAATATGAATTATTCCATCTATATAAAGTTCACAAATAAATAAAACCAACCACATGCATCCTTGGAATGCATTCTTGCATAAAACTATAAAGCAGGATAGCAGTGAGCTTCTAGGGAGAGGGAGGACATTATTAGCAAGGAAAGGACCATGAGGGGCTTCTGGGTTGATGGTGATATATCATTTTTTCTCTAGGTGATAGTTACAAGTGTTTTAATTTTTGGGGACTTTTCTACGTGATTGTTAACTAGTTTATAATTTTAAAAAAGTGTAACTAATAAGAAAATGTTGCATGTTTATGGTGTAAATTGCTGGACAGAAGTAGTTGAATAGACTTCTCTGGAACTTATAAGAAGCAGTATTTGAAAATGGATTCCAAGGATCTGCTTTACCCCAATTATAACTGCCACCCCCCACCCCATCTCCTATTCTCAGAGGAGCAAATATTCTCACCTGAGAACAAGGCAGGAACTAGGCCACTGCCCTCAGAGCCGGGCTCTAGACCAGTGGGACTCCCGGCGCGGGTGGAAGCATGCAGCAGTGACACAGCAGAGAAGGCCACAGAAGAGAAGCAGGAAAGAACCCAAGACCAGCAGCCTGGAGCCACACAGAGCCAGCTCCTCCTAAAAGTGGGCATAGAGAGGGAAAGGGAAGTGATGGAGAGAGGAGGGACAAAATCTCCCCCTGGACAAGATGGCTTGCCCCAGCCCAAAGCTATGGAGAGAAGTCTCCAGAAAGGAGAGGCTTCTCACATTTGGGGAGCAGCTAATGGGAAAATGTTATTTTAGACAAGTTAACATTTGTCTTCATGGTTTACAAACTGCTTTCTTGCCCAGCCCTCCATCCATTGGAATCCAAAATGGCTCCCTAAGTCAGGAAAGTTCTCTCTTCACATTTTAAAGGCTTTGTTAGCAGAGCCAGGCTGTGCTCATCCCAGGTCTTTTCAAATGAGAGGGAAGACTGGCAGTAACCTCCTAGTGACTCTTCCTTTTCTACTCAGCCCATCTCTTCCACCCAGCACTGGCAAGGGCTTTTCTCTCCTCCTTCAAAGCCCTCAGTGGTTTCCCCATTTCAGTGTCCAGTCACAGCATGATCATCTGTAGTCAGCGCCACCAGATCAGTGTCCCCATCCCTTTATGCCAGTTTAACCCCTCCCCAAAGACCAAACACTTCTCCATCCTTGGGCTTGTGTTCCTGTCCCTCCCCGCTTGGGCTTCTCTACTTCCTCATTCTTTCAGAATGGCAGGGCAGAAGGCATGGATTACAATCTTGGCTCTGCCAAATAACCAGTTGTGTGGCCTTAGGCAATTGCTCCCTCTCTCTAAACCTGTTTCCTCATCTGTAAAATGGGATAATAGCTCCTACCTCAAAAGGCTATTTTAAGATCAAATGAGATAATGAACCTGAAAGCACTGTGTACATTATAAACCACTGTACACAGTTCTTTCTCAAGTGGCACCTTCTCTGGGAAGCATTATCCATAAATGTTCAAGTTAGGATGAATTGCTCCTTACACTGTGTTTGTAACACTGCTCACATCTCTTATGACAGCAGTTATCCCATTCTGCCTCTTATTACAGCTTCCCAATTCCTTTGAAGTTGAGATCATACTTTATCTTATTTAAAGACAACAGCAAACAATTGTCATTTATCAAATCTATTATGTACGCAATATTATGCTGAGCCCTTGACAGTCATTCTCATTCAAGCCTTATTTGCTGGAATTAGGAGATAGTATTGTGTTTTCTGTTTCATGGTGAAGAATCTGAGGCTCAGAGAGGTTCAGATGCTTGCTCTAAGTCACACAGCCTCTCAGGCTGAGTTATAAAGAATACCTATGCTTTTTCTACTAGATGAAATTGCCTCCTGGAATCTTCCAGACAGCATTCAGCATGGCAGTCTACAAAACCCTGACGACCAACCTGAGATTCTTACCGAGGTGAGCAGCTTGGTGAGCACAAGGCCTTCATGGCTCCAGACCCTAACACACTCCTCACCCATCTTAGGGCTCAGGGTGGCATTTCCTGCTCCTTCCTCTAAGCAGGATATAGGTGGCTGGCTTGAGGGCAGGATTTCTGGAACAGCGCTAAAATATAGACAGGTTCCTGGAGTCCTTTCTGAGGTCACTCTGGCTGTGATGAGGATCAGCTCTCCTGCAAAAGACCCTGCAAGAAGACCAGGAGAGGAGAAAGAAGTGAGGGGTTGTGCCAAGCATACTGGCTCAAGACTGTAATCCCAGCTACTTCTGATGGGGAGATAGGAGGATCATGGTCTGAGGCCAGTTTAAGCAAAAAGTTAGGAAGACCCTATTTCAAAGAATAAGCCTGGTGGTTCATACTTGCAATCCCAGCTACACAGGGGGTAGAGGCATGATAACTGCAGTCTGAGGCTGGCTTTGGGTAAAGAACATGAGAACCTATCTGGAAAAAATAACTAAAGCAAAAAGGACTAGAGACCTGGCTAGCAAATCAAGGCACTGATTTCAAACCCCAGTACCGTACTGCAAAAAGAAAAGACAGTGGGGCAGGAGCCAGACATTATTAAGCTTCTGTTCACTTCTGTTCATTTGTTCGTTTCATCTTTTTTTTTTTTTTTTTTTTTTTAGGACTGGGGTTTGAATGCACTTGCAAGGCAGATGCTCTACCACTTGAGCCACTCTGACAGCCCTTTTTGGCTTTCCTTATTTTTCAAATGGGGCTCAGGCTGGTATGGAACACAATCCTGTTTATGTTTCCTGCTCAGTTGAGATGACAGGCGTGCACCACTATACCCAGGTTGAGATGGGCTCTGGCTAACTTTTTGCCTGGGTGGGCCTTGAACCATGATCCTCCCAATCTCCACCTCCCAAGGAGCTTGGATTACAGACACGAGCCATCATGCCCTGTCAGGCTTTTGTTCATTTCTTAGGCTTCCTATAATACCAGGTGTCTTGGCATGGATTCTATTCAATAAAGTACTGTATGACACTGAGAAATGAAAATAGATGTGCAGGAACAAACACACATTAACTGAAATTAGCTTACAATTAATGCAGTAATCATTCCAAGACTCACAAGGTTGCAGCGGGACAGGTAGAGACACACTGTCCATGTCAGTTTGTAAAAGCTCATTTATCCTTTTTAAGAAAGCAGTGTTCCACTAGATACTAAAACCCATGAAAAGGTTCACATCCTGTTTTAAATTAGTGGGGAAATGATGACCTGTTTAGTAAATGGCTTTGGGACAATTTCCATGTGGAAAAAAATAGGAAGTTAGACTGTTTTCTCACAATGTAAAATAAAACCCAGATGGGACTGGTGGAATGGCTCAAATGGTAGAGCACCTGCCGAGCAAGCGTGAGGAAGGCCCTGAGTTCAAACCTCAGCACCGCAAATAAATAAATAAATCCCAGAAATATATTACAGAACTATACAAACCAAAAATAATTTTAAGCAAGTATTAAAAGATAATACAGAAGAATATTTTCCAATTGTAAAGTGACCAAGGCATTCCTTCAAAGACACAAAACATAAAAAGACTTGATAAAGAACAAAAACAACCTAAGCTCATAAAAATTAGAAGACTTCCAGACAATGAAAGATAAGTTAAAAACAACAACAACAAAAAAACAAGTAGCTGGGCACTGGTGGCTCACACCTGTAATCCTAGCTACTCAGGAGGCAGAGATCAGGAGGATCACAGTTTGAGGCCAGCCCCAGGAAAATAGTCTGCAACACCCTATCTCAAAAAAATTCATCACACACACACACACACACACACACACACACACACACACAGCTGGTGGAGTGACTAAGCAGCAGTAAGAACACCTGCCTAGCAAGCTTGAGGCCCTGAGCCTGAGTTCAAACCCCAGTACCACAAAAGAAAACAACAAAATCAAACCAAAGGGGGTGGGGGAATAACAAGTCCTACATGATGGTACATGCCTGTAATCCCTGCACTCAGGTGGCTGAGTTAAGTTTGAGGCCATCTTGGGCTTCATTAAGAAATCCTGTTTCAAAAAGAAAAGAAAACAGTTCATACCCTTTGACTCAGTAATACCACTTGTGGCTGGGCACAGTGGCTCACATCTGTAATCTCAGCTACTCAGGAAGTGGAGATTAGAGGATCGTTCTTCAAGGTGAGCCTGGGCAAAAAGTTAGTGAGACTCAATCTCAAACAACAAGTGAGGCATACGCCTGTGATTCCAGGTACTTGGGAAGCCCTAGGTAGGAGGTTTGCAGTTTCAGGCCAGACTAGGACAAAAAGGAAAGCCAACCTGAAAAATAACTAAAGCAAAAAAGGCTAGGGACATGGCTGAAGTGATGGAGCACCTGCCTAGCAAGCGTGAAGCCCTCAGTTCAAACCTTACAACTGCCAAAAATAAAAAAATAAAAAAAGCAATACTACTTATAAAAATTAATCCTAAAAAAACAGGTTAAGAAAAATGTAAAGTATAGCAAGGACTGGGGATGTAGCTCAGAGGCAGAGCACAGGCATGAGCTAGGCCCTGGGCTCCATCCTGAGCACCAGAAAAACAAAAACAAAACAAAAAAACACTAAGATGTTTACTTTGATTTTACCCAAAATAACAAAAATTAGGAATCAGTAGAGATGTTTATTAGGGAAAGCATTCACAAATGATGGCCTAACCACTTAATGGGTTAATTTGCAATCATTAAAGTAACAATATTGAAGACAGGGTAGTAATATGGAAAACCACTTATGTGTAAGTGAAAAGGAAAAATACAAATCCATACACGCACCATAGTCACTACTGAAAACTGAAAATGAAGACAACTTTTCCCCTTTCTCCTTCATCACCAGATGGAATCAGGGACCAAGTCTTGTCAATTCCAGGTTTCTAGTGTCTCTCTCAGATCATACCACTGTGGTAGCTCAGATTTTCTTATCATCTCTTCATCATGGTCACCTCCTAACTGGCTTCCTGTGTCTGGACACATTCCTTCCTGGTAGTCAGCCAAGAAAGTGTGATTTTTTTTTTAAAAAAAGTAGCACAACAAAATCCTACCACTTCCCTGACTAAAATCTTTTTTATGTTTTTGATGGTACTGGGGTTCAAACTCAGGGCCTCACACTTGCTAGGCAGGCGCTCTACTGCTTGAGCCACTCTGCCAATCCTGTTGGGTTTCAAGGTAGGATCTCACAAACTATTTACCTTGGCTGGCTTTGAACCTCAGTCCTCCTGATCTCTGCCTCCTGAGTAGCTAGGATTATAGGCATAAGCAACCAGCACCTGGATCTCTGATTAAAATCTTTGAGTTTGCCCAGTATACTGGATTAAAGTCCAACTACTTTGAATTGCATACAAGATCCTCCATGGGTTTCTGCCTCCATTGGACCTATTGCCCATAACTCATTCAACATTCCTTCCCCTGTGTGCACTAGCCAACCAGAACCTTTCGAAATTCCTAAACATACTATTTTGGTTCCCACCTATATGCCTTATGTCTGCTGTTGCCATGGCTGGAACTGTGCATTGTAGGAGCTCCTCAAGCTTCAGCTTAGGCGTTGTATCCTCAGAAAGGCCAGCCTTTCTTCACCATCCCTGCTTTATGGATCTCTGGGTACTCCCACTGTACCATATGTTCTACTTCACACACTGAAAGACACTTACTTCTATTCAAATCTGTGTCCTTGGTAGACTGGAAGCAACTTGAAGGGAGGGTCCATGTCTTACAGACCTCCGTATTACCCTGTTTGGTATACAGTATGTGCTCCATAATTACTGGATGGTTGATACAACCATATAATCCAAAACATAATCTTTGGTATTATTACTTTATTTCTGATCATTACAAAAAATAGAGCTTCTTTACAAAAGTAGAAATTAACAAGCTGACTCTAAAATTAGTAGGGAAATTCAAGAGATCTGGAATAGCCAACACAATCTTTAAAAAGAAGAACAAAGTTGGAGGACTAACATTTCCTAATTTCAAAACGTACTATGAAGCTACAGTCATCAAAACAGTGTGATACTAGCATAAGGGTAGACATATGGATCGGTAGATAGAACTAAGAGTCTAGAAGCCAATAATAATTTATGCTCAATTGTTTTTCAGTAGGGTGCCAATGGGGAAAGATAAGTCTTTTCAACAAAAGATTCTAGGATAATAGGATACAGAAAAGAATGAGGTTGGACCCCATCACATCATACCCCCAAATTAAGAAAAAACCCTGATAAACTGGACCTTCATCAAAATTCAAAACTTTTGTGCTTCAAAAACAGCACAAAGGAGAGAAAAGATGCAAATCATACATCAGATAGGGACTTGTATCTAAAAAAGAACTCTTACAATCAGAAGGACCCAGTGACTCACACCTATAATCCAAGCTACTTGGGAGACTTCGATTGAGAGGATCAAGGTCCAGACCAGCCTGGGCAAAAAGTGAAACCCATCTTCAAAATAACCAGAACAAAAAGGGTTGAAGGTGTGGCTCAAGTAGTAGAGTACCCGCCTAGAAGCCCTGAATTCAAACTGGGCTGGCAAAAAAGAAAAGAAGTCTTCAAGTCAATAATTAAAAGACAAATTACCCAATTTAAAAATTAAGCAAAGTCTCTGAAAATATATTTCTCCAAAGGAGACATACAAAAGGTCAATAAGACCATGAAAAATCCTAAATCTCTTTAGCCATCAGGAAAATGCAAATCAGAACTGTGAGCTATAACTTCACAATGATTAGGGAAGCTATAGTAAAACTGACAGATGACGAATGTTAGTGAGGAAGTAGATAAAGTGCAAATCTTATGTTGATGAAAATACAAAATGGAGCTTAGAATGGTTTTGTACACGTATAATCCCAGCAACCTGAGAGGCAAAACCAGGATAATCCTAAATTCGAGGCCAGACTAAGCAAAGTTAATAAGACTTGATCTCAAGTCAGTGGCTCACTCCTGTAATCCTAGCTACTTGGGAGGATGAGATCGGGAAGACTGAGGTTTGAGGCCAGCCTGGGCAAATAATTCTGAAGACTCCATCTCCAAAATAACCAGAGCAAAATGAACTGGAGGTGTGGCTCAAGTGGTAAAAAGTCTGCTTTGCAAGTGCAACACCCTAAATTCAAACCCCAGTCCCACCAAAAAGGAAAAAAAAAGACCCTATCTCAAAAACAAAATACAAAAACAAAGGCTAGGGATATGGCTGAAGTAGTAGAGTGTCTGAGTAGCATGCAAAAAGTGTAGCAATATGGAAAACAGCCTGGTAGTTTCTCAAAAGATTAATGAAAGCCAGCACCAGTGGCTTACGCCTGTAATCCTAGCTACTCAGGAGGATCGAGGTTCGAAGCCAGCCTGGGCAAACAGTTTGAGAGACCCTATCTCAAAAATACCCATCGCAAAAATAGGGCTGGTGGAGTGGCTTAAGGTGTAGGCCCTGAGTTAAATTAATAATAGAATTATCATATATTCTACTCATGAGTATATTCTCTAGAGAATTGAAAACATGTACACACAAGTGTTCAAAGCAGCATCATTTCTAATACTCAAAAAGTGGAAACAACCCAAATGTCAATCAAATGATTAATAGACAAAACTGTGTCATACCATGTTATTCAGCAATAAAAATAAATGAAATACTAATACATGCTACAACTGCATGAACCTTAAAAACATTCCAAGTGAAAGGCCAGTCACAAAAGACCCACATATTGTACTGATGTCTAAAATAGGCAAAGCTACAGAGATAAAAGTACATTAGTAGGTGTCTAAGGCTGGGAGCCTGGGGGAGAGAGAGTGGTATTGCTAAGGGCTAGAGAGTTTCTGTTTGTCTGATGAAAATGTTCTAAAAGGAACTGTGGTGATGGTCCATACCTGTGTGAATAGAGGAATTCATTTAACTGTATATTTCAAGTGTGTGAATTACAGGGTACGTGAATCATATCTCAACGCAGTCATGTATCTCTCTATATATAGGTGGCATGGCACAAGTGGTGCAGCATTTGCCTAGCAAGTACAAGGCCCTGAGTGCCACAATTAAAAAAAAAAAAAAGAAAGAAAAAGAAAAAAATCTGAGACCAAATGTCACCCAGGAATTAATGGCACTCACTGGATGATATCTCTCTCTGTGTCATCATATTGACAGAAGACTATAGGGTCTTTAGAGATTGATGGTTTTTAAAATTTCTATGCCAGACACAGAACAGGCACCTACGATACTAGTTTAATTGAACAGGCTATGCTGATATCACTGAGGCAAAAGGTGCTGCCAAGAGATAGCTATAGGAATGAGAAAGAACTCTGAGTCAAAAGTTGCCCATCTCATTAACACCTCTAAGGACAGAATGAAAGAACCTCAGAATAAGTATCTAGTCCTTATTACTGCAGAACTGACTAAGACATAGGGACATGCCTAAGGTCAGCAGGGTGGTGAAGTCAGGGCCCAGCCTTGAGTGTTCTGATGGACCCCCAGTTTTCCCTGATCTCACCTTTCAATCCCATCTGACTACCAGGGATCTTGGCTTGGAATGTCTGGGTCTTGTTTCTGTCTGGACCATCTCCGAAGTTCAAGGTGGTCAGTAAGCCCACGACATGAGACCCTTGCCACTTCCCTGTGACAGTCCCATTCATGGGGCACAGGGTCAGCTGACCAAAAGACCTCAAGAAGGAGACCCAATCCTGTGAGCAAAAAGAGAGGTGAGATGAGGTCAGTGGCAGGAGCAGGACTACATGGGAAGGGGGAGGAGCAGTGTACTTACCTGAGGGATGTCAGGGCTGCGCAGGCCAGTCCTGTGGGTGAGGAGGAAGCCACCCAGGCCCAGGCCGGAAAGGCCAAGTAGCAGCAGGATCAAAGTAGCACAGACCAGTGGTGGGTGGTGGGCCAGGCAGAGATGCAGGTTGTGCCCTGCCTGGCAGCTGCCCATGAGGAGCAGAGGGGTCTGGGTCTCCGTGGAGAGCCTGCTGGAGGACAGCGAGGGAGAACTGGACAAGAGCCTGCTGGTCAGAAGGTACTCACCCATGTTATACAAAGGGAAGCTAAATCTCAGAGAAGACAAGAGACTTGCCCAAGGTCACACAGCTAGTGTGGATCAGAATCCAAGATTTTCAACTCCAAAAGCTTATCTCCCTGCACTACTGAGAAGTTTACTGCATTTTGTTTTTGAAATAATCAAGATAAGCAGAGCAGAGCATTTTGTGCTGGCAAAAGGAACGTGAAAGGGAGATTTCGCAGCTAGAGAAAGAGGAAGCAGCGGTTCTGGGCTAGGGTTTAGCTGAAAAACCTATCTGGCCAGAGCCCAGACAAGGGAAGAAGGTTCCTGATTTGGAGCTCACTGGCTAGATCGGTTTGAATCTACCTTGCTACTCATTAGCTATGTGAGGTCAGTTAATGTCAGTGAGTTTGAGGACCTGTGAAATGGGAATTCTAAGAACACCAAGTCATGAGGACTCAATGTGGCAGACAGAACAGTCTGCATGGTACTTGGCCATTCAGGAACTCAACAGATGTCCTTTATGTTTCCTGGTGTCCACGTGAGGCAAGGCAAAAATACTGTGGGAGAAACTGAGACTTTAACATAGGAGTGGTAGGGCCAAGGTCTGAAACCTATCTCCTGCTTCCAAGTGGAGTACTCTATTCCACGCAAGAAGCGACAGCCCAATGAAAAGGGACTTCTGGAAGGCGAGGAGATAAACACATGGGGTGTGGGGAGACGGTGGGAGCCACGGAAATGCAGGTGTCACAAATGCTCAGCCCCTGCCCTTCCTCGAGTCCCGGCATGTCTGGAAGGGGCAAAAGAGGCGGCGGGGTGGGGGGGGTGGCGCGGGGGAGGGGTGGTAGAGCCTGAGGGTCAGCAGCTGGCGGTGCACCTGGGCCCCTCCTCCCCAAAGCCCCCTCCGGAAGGATCTCAACACCCGCATCCCTTCCCGATCTCGCGGCGTTGGGTCTGCCAGACACTAGCTCTCACCGCTCGGAGCCGGGCGGAGGCCAGCGCCCCCCACGACGTCACGCGTGGAGCGGCGAAGGGGCGGGGTCCGTGCTTGGCGTCTGTCTTCCCCCGCCCGCCCCGCCTCGCCTCGCCTCGCCTCGCCTCCCCGCCTCCCCGCGGCGGGGTGCGCATGCGTAGTGTGCACTCGGGATTCCGCCTCGCGGCTGCCAGGCAGCGTGGAGGCCGTACCAAAGGAAAACCCAACGGAGGGGCTAGGGTGAGAAAATAACTCCGCGGGAGGTGAGGAAACGGAGGCAGGCCTGGGAGCGCAGGCTAGAAACATTGTAGAGCCCTCGGCCTCCCTCCGGAGGGACCAACGGGAACCTCCCGGGACCAACCCTCCGGGAGAGTTTCAACGGGAATCTCGTAGCAGGTATTTTTCTGTTGCTCGTCTCCCACCCGCGCCAATAGCACGGCCCAGCCGCGCCCAGGTTGCGAGGAAGGACTTGGGGTCCGCCCTGTGGGGTGGGGCTCCCACTTTTAGGAGTCTGTTCTTTTGGGCTAAGAGTGGTGTTTGGGCTTCGCTCTTCACCGCACCCCAAGACTAGTCAATGCCTAAGCGTGGACGTGGCCTCTAGCTAAGACTCCTTAATGCAGAGCATCATAGAGCTGCAAGGCTGCTCAATAGACAGCCGTCTCTGTCCACGTCTGTCCTCAATGTAGGGATGAGATCATCTTACACGCAATAACATGACACGTGGAGCCAGCAACTCTGGGTTCAAATCTTGACTCTGTGCCCCTGCACAAGTCATAACCATGCTCTCCAGGGCAGTAAGATTATACCTCTGTAAAGGATCTATCTCACTGGTTGGTTGAGACGCTTAAGTGGTAAAGTGTGGGAAAACATGTGCCCAGTGCCCACTGAACACACAGCCAGCACTGGCCAAATACTGTTTGAAACAGAATCTGAGTATCTAACTCCATTGTGGGTTCTTTAAAGACCATGTCTGTACTGTACCACCACCACCCACAGAAGTTTGTCGCACAAAACCTTTGCATAAATGGCTAAATGACTTTTGCCAAGGGTGCCATTATTAGTGAGGAAAAAGTCATTTCTGTGCATCGGAAGACATAATTAACAGTGAAACAGTAGCCCACAGAATTGGAAGAAATATTTGAAAATCATGTATCTGACAAGGGGTTACTATGTTAAATCTATAAGGAACTCAAAAAAACCCCAAACAAACATGGAGGTATGGCTCACGCGATAGAGCACCTGTTTTGCAAGCACAAAGCTCAGTCCCACCATAAAAGAAAAGTTTAAAACAAAACAAAACAAAACCCAAACAGTCCAATGAAAAGCTGGGCAAAGAACCTGAATAGACATTGCTCCGAAGATAGGGAAATGAACAAGGAGCACAAGAAAGAGATGCTCAACATTACTAACCATTAGCGAGATGCAAATGGAAACCAAAATGAGATAGCGTCGCATACCTGTTAGGATGACTACAATCCAGAAATCAGAAAATAGTAAATGTTGGTGAATACATGAGTAATTAGGAGCATGAGCACTGTTTGTGGGAATATGAAATGTGCTGCTATTAGAAAAGTATAACAATTCTTGAGAATTAAAAATAGAATTACCATATGATTCAGCAGTTCCACTCGTGTGTACCACCCCCCCAAAATTGAAAGCCGAATTTCAAAGGGATTGCGCACTCATATTTAGAGCAGGATTATTTACAAGAGCCAAAGGTGAAAACAACCCAAGTGTCTATCAACAGATGGGGTATACACAACATGGAATATATTCAACCTTAAAAAAGAAGGAAATTCTGACACATGCTATAACATGAATGATCTGAGACCATTTTATGCTAAGTGAAATAAGTCAGTCACAAAAGACATTACTGTATCATTCTATTTATATGAAATGCCTAGAATAGTCAAGTTCTTACAGACAGAAAGTAGAATGATGGTTTCTAGAGGCAAAGAGGAGGGGAAAATGGAGAGTTATTGTTTAGTGATAAGGAGTTTTAGTTTTGCAAGATGAAAAAATCCTGGAGATGGATGGTAGTGATGGCTGCACATCACTGCCAAGATGAGTGTACTTAAAACTACTGAGCTGTATACTTATAATGGTTAAGATTGTGAATTTTATGTTATTAATATTTTATTATTAAGATTAAAAATAATAATTGAAAAACCACTGGGGGGAAAAGTTTATGCCACAATCTCCTAGAGTCTAGTAAGTGCTTTATAAATACCATTGATGGGCTTAGTTGAAATTCCAAGCATACATACATAGTGTTTTCTTCTGAAAGGAAAAATAATGTGGTTCACAGAGAAATTTACCATCTAACAATTGGAAGGCACTTAATAACTGAGCAGGTTTGGCCAGGCATAGTGGCTCAACCTGTAATTCTACCTACTCCAGAGGCAGAGATCAAGAGGATTGTGATTTGAGGCCAACTAAAGTTCCCAAGACCCCATCTCAACCAATAAAAAGCTAGGTGTAGTGGTACATGCCTAACATCCCAGCTACGCAGGAAGCATAAATAGAAGGATCACAGACCAGGCCAGCCAGTCAGTGTAGTTATTAGAAAATAACTAAAGCAAAAAGAGCTAGGAGTGTGGTTCAAGTGGTAGAGGACATATCTAGCAAGAACAAAGTCCTGAGTTCACACCCCAGTATGATCCAAAAAACAACAACAAAAAAACAGTTCCACTCAGCCGGGCACTGGTGGCTCATGCCTGTAATCCTAGCTACTCAAGAGGCAGAAATCAGGAAGATAGGATTCAAAGCCAGCCCGGGCAAATGGTTCATGAGACCCAATCTTGAAAAACACTTCACAAAAATAGGACTGGCTCAAGGTGAAGACCCTGAGTTCAAGCCCCAGTACCGGAAAAAGAAAAAAAATCCCCCCTTTGTTTTACAGATGCTAAACTGAGATCTTGGAGAGGTTATGAGACTTGTTCCAAATCACTCAGACAGTTAAGCCTCAACTGGAACTTGAGCCCAAATTTCCTGACATCAGTCTTTTCCCACTAAGTATTTTTGGCTTAGTTCTGCCAAGAGATGTCTCCTGATCACCTACATAGAACTTTGCTCCCCAAATCACATACAGCCTAACTTGAGCCCACTATGCATGTTCTCTAATCTTGTTCTACTCTCCCTAGCCCGGGCCTCAGCTCCTGGAGCAGGTCACTCTCACAAGCTAGATGCTGTCATAGTTTAACCACACACTATTTGCTTAGCTGGTACTGTTGGTCAATTTATTAAAAACAAAAACGAAAGCTGGCAGAGCGGCTCAAGTGGCAGAGCGCCTGCCTAGTGAGCGTGAGGCCCTGAGTTCAAACCTCAATACCACCAAAAAAAATAAACAAACAAAAATAAAAACAATAACAAAAAGTAGTTTTGTAGGTCTGGGATGTAGCTTGGCAGTAGAGCACTTGCTTAGCATGCATGAGGCTCTGGGTTTTTTTCCCAGCACCACAAAAACACCAAGAAAAAAATAGCAGTGGGGCTGGAGAGTGGCTTAAGTGGTAGAGCTCCTGCCTAGTGAGTGTGAGGCCCTGAGTTCAAACCAAAACAAAAACAAAATAGTAACAATAAAAAACAACAGGCAAGTTCTGGTAAGAATTCACTGACTTTTAAGGTTGGAAGGACATCTGCCCATGCTTAAACATTTGTGAAGTTTAGGTTAAAACCCCAAACAAAGTATTCAGTAGAAAAATAAAAATGAAAAAAATGAAGAAAAGAAAGGAAACAAACAAACAAACAAGTATTCAGTAGACAATTGGTTGTTTGTTTTTTGATATAGTGTCTTTAGGGCTGGAAGAGTGGCTCAAGTGGTAAGAGTACCTGCCTAGTAAGCATAAGGCCCTGAGTTCAAAATGCAGTGCTGCCAAAAAAAAAAAAAAAAAAAGGCTGGAAGAGATAGTGTCTCAATATGTAGCCCAGGCTGGCCTCGAACTCCTGATCTTCTTGGTCAGCCTCCTGTTTGCTGAAATTGCAGGTGTGCACCAATATGCTGGTTAGTCAACAATTTTTTTAATGCCTGCTATAATCGAAATACAAAATTATTGTTATTATTTTTGACAGCACTGAGGTATGAACTCAGGGCCTCACGCTTGCTAGGCAGGCATTCTCCCAAGTATACAATATCCAGGTCAGCAACATAGCTCAGGAGTAGAGCACTTTTCTAGCATGCACTGGCCCTGGATTCCATCCCCAGCACTGTAAAAACAACCAAAAAAACCAAACAAACAACAACAAAAAAATCTATCCATCTAGCATTACTAGATAACAAATCTAGTTTCTAGAGTAAGATAAGGCATGAAAGTGACCAGTACAGTCCTAATATACAATGAAAGGTCAACAAATGTGAGTTTTCCCTCATTATTCTTTTATTTATTTTTATTTATTTTTTTTTTGATGGCATTGGGGTTCGAATTCAGAATCTTGTGCTGCTAGGCAGGAGTTGTACCACTTGAGCCCAGCCCCCTCATAATTCTTATGTTGTGAAGTAATTAGGCATATTTGAACAGCAGTTCTCACAAATGAACATAATTCATTATTTACTTTTACAGTAAACCAAGCAATTCTATGAAAACTGGTTAAAGCAAGGAACTACCTCAAGTCTTGAGAATCAGGGTAAATGTATGCAAACAAATGTTTTACAGAGAAAAAAATGTGGGTGAGGGGTCAATCAGAACACAAAATTAGTTGTGCACTTTTTTCTTTTTGGTGTGCCTGGGGTTTGAACTCAGAGCTTTGTGCTGGGAAAGCAGACACTCTACTGCTTGAGCCA